CCGCCCCGGTTCTTTTTCTTTTCTTTGTACTTTAAATGCAAAGAAAAGAAAAGAAGAAGGGTTTGTCAGGATTAGTAGGGTTGTTCGAATCATGTTGTATTTATTGACACAGTTTATTTAGTACGATTTGATTTCAAAGTCATGTTAGGACAGTTGTTCATCGAATTTCAAAAATGATCACTATTGTCGTATCAAAAATGTCGACATTTTCAAAGAATTTTCTACGAATGTTTTTTCAAAAATGTTATCGACATTAGAAGTAAATTTTCTTTCTTCTTTTAAAGATCAATATGTTCAATTTAGAATATTTATTTGGGTTTCGTAATTTTACTCTCATATCTTTCACTAGTTTTTGCCAAAAGTACACTATATACACTATGAAACTATAGTGTACAAAATCCTGAAGAAAAAAAAAATTAGTGGGTTTTTCTATAAATTACTAAACACTATGGAAAAGAATATTTATTATTTATTTTCTTTGTTGACCATAACAGGTCCGTGCCAACCCGTTCTGCCACAAAGGAAGGCCACGCTTGCTGACGGGCTACCAACTCCTGACAGTCAGCTTATATCTAGAGAAAAGACTCCAAGAGGTTACTTGTCTTTGCTATTAATCAACTTATCATATAAATCTATTAGTTATTTGCATTCAGATCCTCTAAAATTAACTCTAATTTCAATGTGAAGTTTGGCCAGTCATAATCATATAATGAGAATCTTTTAATAAAAATTCATTCACATGTTGTACGAATCTCTTTTTTTGGTACATCAGAAAAGAAAACAATAACAAACTATAGAACAAAAAATTAGACAGAATGTCTGGTAAAAGCCACGCAGAACATATCTACTAACAAAAAATTTGCTAACCGTGAGGGAGGAGCATCCAACTCCACAAACTTTTTCATTTGTTGGACACCAAGATTGGCCAAGGCATCCGCACATCGATTACCCTCTCTATGAGCGTGAACAATAGGGATCTGTCTTGTTTCCATAAGCCTCCTGCATTGAGTAATCAGATCTCTGTTCGAGTGAGTGGCTTTTGACATCGTAGAAAGGAGCTGCGCAGCATCGAGAGAATCTGTTTCCACAATGATCTAAGTAATGTTCCTCCTGTGAACCAGATCCAGACCTCTCTGTATAGCCTCAAGTTCCGCCTGAAGACTCGAGGAGTCAAACAGTCTCCCATAGAAGCCTGCAACCCATTTGCCTTGATCATTTCTTATGATTCCTCCTATTCTTGCTGGGCCTGGGTTGCCTTTTGAGCATCCATCCGTATTAAGCTTGTTCCAACCTGTGTGGGGAAAAAACCAAGCAATAAGGGAAGGAGAAGTAATGGTAGCATTCAGACTAGTATTTTGGAAAGCCTTAACAGAGTCCAAGGCTAGGAACCATGCTTCCCTAACAACCAATCTAGGTAAGGTGAAAGTTTTTGAAATGCTTTCCCTGTTCTTATCTTTCCATATGCACAATGCAACACAAGCACACACAATTGGTTAATTGATTCCCTTCCAGTCTTTGGTCATCCTTATTTTAAAATTCAAAGTGATCCAATTATGAATCCCTCCAATGCTAATAAGTTCTTCATCATTAAATGCATTGAGAGAATTCCACACCTTTTCGACTTTTGGACGTTCAAAAATCACATGGAGGGATGATTCATTAGGGTGATGGCATCTTGCACATGAGGCATCACTAGTCATATTCCTTGTGACCCTAAGACTATTTGTGAGAAGTTTGTCATGTTGTACAATTCATAAGAATTGGTTTAGTTTTTGAGGTAACTTTAATTTCCAAATCCAATCTCAGTGTAGTAAAAGACCATTCCTGGGGTTCGATTTCGAAATTAGGTCATAAGTAGCTTTTGTGGAGAAGTTTCCATTGTGTGAAAGCCCCCAACAAATAGTATCCTGAAAGTCAACAGATAAAGGACAGGGAGAATGAAACAAATCAAGCAGAGTGGAGTGAGGAAGGAGAGTACCTGTTTCTTGAAGATTCCAGTTACCTCTATCATCAATGAAATCAACAACCTTCTTGTTGAGGTTCAAACAATTTGGTAGAAGTACCTGCTGCACTAAAGGACCCTCACCCCACCACCAGTCAGTCCAAAAATTTATATGAGTTTCATCTCCAAATAACCATTTTGACCCTAGGTCCACCAAATTTTTGGTCTTGCCAATAGCTCTCCATATAGGAAAACTATCATGCTTAAGTTTTTGGTTGGAGTTGTCTTGGTCAGCATATTTATTCTTAATTACATCTACCCAAAGAGTTTTTTCTTTACTTTTCACTTTCCAACCCAGTTTAGAGAGGAAGGCAACATTATTATCCCTGCTTCTTCTTAGACCCAACCCTCCTTCCTTTTTAGGGGAGCATACCCTATTCCAATTCACAAGGTGGACCTTCTTCTTAT